CACACACACACACTCACCCACAAAGTCGTTGAGAACATCTTTGACCAGGTGTCCAACTATCGCGTACGCCACGGCCACGACCACCAGCGCCGCCATGACCAGGTACAGGACTGCCCTGGGCAGCGGGATGGGGTCTCGCGCGGGGCTCCTGTAGTCCGGGAGCAGCAGGTCCCCCTCAGAGAACTGCAGGATCTGCTCCATGCCCGACGTCTGGTTGGGGTCCAGAGGCGGGGGGCTCGCGCTCAGCGCGGCGCCGTCGGGCTGCAGGGAGCTCACCACGGTGGGGGTCACGGTCCGCGCCTTGTCCAGGACCACCAGACCCGTGGTCTGGTTCACCAGGGGCAGGATCCGGGACAGGAAGTAGCTCCAGTCCTTGATGGCGCTCGTGTTGCAGACGAACATGGTTTCCTCCATCATCAGGTCCCGATCCGCAGAGACAGCGCGCCAAAAACCCAGATCCTTCCAGGAGACCCCCGCAGGTGGGGTTCTGTTGTCCCGCGGGTCCGATCAGGTGGGAGGACGGGAGGTGGGGGGTCTCCGTCCAGCTCGAGCTCAGGAGCGAGTCTGAGGAGTCCTCCTGCTGACGGAGGGCGCGACGCGTCACTGACGGGAGGCGCAACTTTTACGCACAACTTCAACCCGGGATCTGGTGCCTGCAGAACCTCAGAACCGAGACCAGAGACCAGAACCGAGACAGAGACCAGAGCAGGGTGGTCTGAGCTGCAATGTCACCTGCAGAGGAGGAGGAGGAGGAGGAGGAGGAGGAGGAGGAGCAAACAGCCAGGATGTTGGAATAAAACGGAGCAGGAACCCTGAGCTCCTCCTGCAGAGTCCAGGATCAGAACCTGCAGGAGTCACGAGACGTCCTGCACTGCCCCCCGGATCCAAGTGGATCAGGACTGATGAGAGACCAGAGCCTGGACAGGTAGAGCCACGCGCTGCAGGACAGGTGAGTTTTTTTTTAACCTTCTGCTGATCAGGAGGTGTTTTTATTCAGACTTCAGTTACAGAGAGATAAAAACAGATGAAAGGTTTTATTACAGTTTGTTTGGGTTAAACCTGTTAATATGAGCATCGATCTGTTTGTTGGATTATAAAACTGAGGCGCCAAAAATAAAATGTAAAAAAAAAGTCATTAACATACTTTCATTAATTAGCTCACTTTTGTGACATTTCTACTATTTTATTGTAACTTATATTGTTCTTACATTTTATTATTATATATATTTTTACTAAATGCTACATTTAAATGTTAAATAATACATGTAAATGTTAAATCCTAAATCTAAATGTTGTAGATGTTAAAATTTACATCGATGTTGGGGCTCTGTTGTTATGATGTCATCTACCTGAGACTAAAGCAACCTAACACTGCTAACACTGCTAACTCTGCTAACACTGCTAACTCTGCTAACACTGCTTACTCTGATAATACTGCTAACTCTGCTAACTCTGATAACACCGCTAACACTGATAACACTGCTAACACTGCTAACTCTGCTAACACTGCTAACATTGCTAACTCTGATAACACCGCTAACACTGATAACACTGCTAACTCTGATAACACTGCTAAATCTGATAACAATGCTAACTCTGATAACAATGCTAACTCTGCTAACACTGCTAACTCTGATAATACTGCTAACACTGCTAACTCTGATAACACTGCTAACTCTGCCAACACTGCTAACTCTGCTAACACTGCAAACTCTGCTAACACCGCTAATTCTGCTAACACCGCTAATTCTGCTAACACTGTGAACTCTGATAACATTGCTAACACTGCTAACTCTGATAACACTGCTAACTCTGATGACACTGATAACACCGCTAACACTGCTAACTCTGCTAACACTGCTAACTCTGCTAACACCACTAATTCTGCTAACACTGCGAACTCTGATAACACTGCTAACTCTGATGACACTGATAACACCGTTAACACCGCTAACACTGCTAACTCTGCTAACACTGCAAACTCTGCTAACACCGCTAATTCTGCTAACACCGCTAATTCTGCTAACACTGCGAACTCTGATAACACTGCTAACACTGCTAACTCTGATAGCACTGCTAACTCTGATAACACTGCTAACTCTGATGAGACTGATAACACCGCTAACACTGTTAACTCTGCTAACACTGCTAACTCTGCTAACTCTGCTAACACTTCACTATAAGACATCAAACGTGCAGTTGCAGCAGGTGTTCGAGTTGCACTTCAAACGACGATGACGTTTGGGCAGAACTAATCTAAATATTAGTTGCACTAACCCTAAAGCACTAACTCAAATATTTAAGTCCCCTAATTCTAAAGCACTAACACATTGAAAAATTAGCAAAAGCTAATTCTAAAGCACTAATATAACCCAGTTGACACGTGGAACATTCTTCAGAGTCAACACAAGACAATATTTACTGTGTGCAGAATGTTGTCACTTAGTGCCCTTACTTGGGCCAAATGGGAGTCACCTGCAGGCCACATTTGGCCCGCGGGTCTTTAGTTTGACACGTGACATAATATCTGACAGCTTTCACCTCAACTGTGAACAATAATGTTGATCAATAACATTTAAAGACCTCAGTTAGTGCTTCTAAATTTAGCCCATAAATTTAGCAAGTGCTAATCCACTAATAAATTTTAAAAAATATCAAAAGCCCTAAAGCACTAATCAAGAAATTAGTTCCCCTATTAGTGCTTTAGGGGAACTGTGCCCACCACTGCTTTTTATGCAGCATTAGCAGTTAGTTTTGTTGCAGTGGTTAGGATTGTTAGCATCAGTTAGCTTCATTAGCAGCAGTTAGCAGTGTTAGTAGCAGTTAGCTTCATTAGCAGCAGTTAGCATCGTTAGCAGCAGTTAGCTTCATTAGCATCAGTTAGCATCATTAGCAGCAGTTAGCTTCATTAGCAGCAGTTAGCATCATTAGCAGCAGTTAGATTCATTAGCAACAGTTAGATTCATTAGCAACAGTTAGATTCATTAGCAGCAGTTAGCATCATTAGCAGTAGTTAGCGTCATTAGCAGCAGTTAGCTTCATTAGCAGCAGTTAGCATCATTAGCAGCAGTTAGATTCATTAGTAGCAGTTAGCATCATTAGCAGCAGTTAGCATCATTAGCAGCAGTTAGCGTCATTAGCAGCAGTTAGCATCATTAGCAGCAGTTAGCAGTGTTAGTGGTTGCTTTTGCCTCAGAATGATAAGAGCCAAGCACTTTTTATAAGTATTATTTAACATTTATTTTAAAAAATAACTAAAAATAAGAACAGTGAGCTAAAAAAAATAATAAAATGTGGGTTTTTAAATAGATTTTACATAAAGTTAGCTAAATAAAGAAATGGGTTAGTGACATTTTTAACTGTATATTTTTCACCTGACTCTACATGTAAACAAAGCTGTGAGTCGTGGTGGACAGCAGCGTCCACAGAACCTTCTGGAGAGGTTCTGAAGCCCCTCAGACCGGGGAACACCTGGTTTTTCAGACCTAATAAAGACTCTGCAGCTCTTTACACAGGATCTCATCAGGAGGTGAACGAACTTTAGCTCAACATCTGCATGAATGGAGATCAACTGAGTTAAAGCCATTTTTGTTTGGTAAGAGTGATTAGTAAAAGCAGCCTTTTAAAATCAATCCATCCATGTATGAATTTCATTTAAATTCATTCACTTGTTCCTGAGATTTTACAGGAGGAAATGTTAAGAAGCAAAACTAGTGTTTGAATCAGAATCTGAGCAAATTCCAAAATAAAAGTCTTCCTGAGACTGAAAAATGAGGAAATCTCAAAGGTTTGTTTTTTCAAACCATTTAATCTTTAAAATCTGGGTTGTTTTTTGTCTTTAGGAAGCAGCTGCTGGAGAGTATCTGTGTAACAGAGTGAGGAAGAGGAGGCCCTCCTCC